AGCTGGAAATGGTGAAAAAAAAAACATGGAATAGACATAGTTGGAATCAGTTTAAAATGAAATTATTTTTTATTTTTTTGTTTTTATTTATTTTTTAAATTATTTTAATTTATATTTCCAACTTTAAGCTCCCTTTGGAACTAACGACAAAATAATTGCTAAGCTAAGCTTAAAAGCATTTCGTTCAGGTGCTGAAGTTGTCCCTCAATCGAATAAGTTCCCATTGGTTCACAAGCTCATTGAGCCCTGAATCAGTTGAACTCCCATAGCTTACACCGGTTCAGCTCATGAATTTCATGCAATTGGAAATCCACTTTAGCCGAAATCGAATCAGCTCCAGTCAAAGTCAACTATTCGAGGCCATCAAATGCCGCCTCGTATTCGTGCATTCAAATAAGCTAAGTATGGTAAGTAAGTAGAATATCACGTCTGATGATGATGACAATGATACTAACTAAGGACGATGATGATGATTCACCCAAACGAAAATTCAATGCAGTTGATGCAACAAACTCAGCTATAAATAAGTATTTTTCTATTTTTGCATTGAGCTGCAGCAAGTCAAACAGAAAGACGAGAGCCAAGCAGCTGTCTAATTCCAGGGCAGGGCTGTCATATGCGAACAGGACATGGTCCGACAGAGTTCAGTTGGACGGGCCAAAAGGGACACAGGAGTTGAGCCGATGTCAAGAGTCAAGAGGTTAGAGACCCAACGAATGCCAAAGCTTACTCTGTCTGTCTGTCTGTCTGTCTGCCTGTGTGTGTGTGTGCGTGTGTGGGGAGGGGCGTAACTTAAAAATAAACTTCCAGCTCTTATGTGCGGTTGAATTCGAGCAGACGAAACACAAACAAATTTGCTGGCTCCAGATGAAGATGAGGATATTTAAGCAGCCAAACAAAACTAAGAAATGTATAGAAAAAGCACTCGCAAAACGTTTGAGATGGTCAATAAACTTTTCGAACCAAGTGTGAGTGGTCTCAGTCTGTGTGTGTGTGTGTGTGTGTGTGTGTGTGTCTGACTGTGTGTGCACGGATGATTGGTTTAGAAGCTTTGCCAAAGTAGGGGCTCAAATTGGCTGCTCGCCCGCCTTGGTAAACTTTACTCGTGTCTATTTCATGTTTATACGACCATATACACATCTAAATACATACATATATAAATATATAGATCTGTATGTGTATATATTTGCCTCTCTGTGTACATTTCCAATTGGAAGCAATTGGTCTGTGTGCGGCAATTGGAGCAACCGCAAGCCAACAAACGCAGCCAAACACTGCGGAGCCCCACATTATCTTGTTTTCGGTTTATGGCTAAACATTTGTGGCATGCATCATTTAATGCTGCAAAGGTTTATCGCAACGTTTCTATAGATCGTCTAATTAATTATTAAAATATTGTTTAATAGCCCAACATTTATGGCAAAAAGAGCTGTGCGTGCTGGTAGAGCAGACAAAAGTCAACTAGAGTAGAAATTTGCCAGATAATAAAACATTTATTACAAGGGCAAACATATTGTTAATAAGAGCTGATGAGATGAAGTATGAGAGGTTTTTAGGGACTTGACGCACGAGCTGGAAGCGTTGAGAGTAATTTACTCAATAAAACACTTATGAGGACATTTTATAGTCATAAAGAAACTTCAAAAGCAATTAAAAGCACGAGCAATAATCACAGATATGCTTAAAGTCCAACCCAAGCAAGAGCTTTTCTAAGAAAATCTGTATGGAAATTTCGGGTGAAAGTTCTTCATTTAACCAGCTCTTCTTCTTTCTTATGACTTAATAACTTGTCATTGAGCTTAAGCACTTTACTACTGAACCTTAGCAGATGTCACATCATCTTGACAAGCATCATTTGTTATGAATGAGAATATTTTTTATAGCCGTCTTTATTTAGCTCTATAATGTAATTTGTCTGCTTATTTATCATAAACTGTCTTCAATTTGTCTGCTATAACCAAATGGCAATAAAAGATTGGTTTAACTATAGCTGTCAATAAACAAAGCAACATTTAAAAGTAATTCAAACGAATTTCTAAAAATAAATAAATAAAAATTGACCTGAACCAAATTCGCCTAATATGTAAAATATTAAAAAATAAAATAAAATAATAATAAATTAATAAATAAAAATAAGATTCATTTAGAATACAAAAATTAAATTGAAAATTTTAATATTTTCTTTTCTTTTATATACATAAAATATTGCTTTTTTTGTTTTAATAATCTTAATAACGTTTTAATAATATTAAAATATATATATAAATATATATTTTTTTTAAATTTTCAAGATTTTTATTTTTAATTTTAATCAATAAAATATATTGGACTTAAATAAATATTTTAGTGCTCCGATTTATTAGAAAGTGTCCTTAGTGTCTATTTTTGAGTTCTCTATATCCGCGTGTTAACTGGGGAAAATAGTTCAGAATAATAAATTATCGTTTTACTATGCGTCTTTTTCTGACCCAAATAAGTTAAATTTTATACATCGTTTCTATATATACACAATCAGTAGAATATTAACTCTTTCCAAGCCATTTGGAGTAAAAATCTGGCATTTAATTTAATTTCTTTAGCTTAAATATTATTTTACATATGTATATACAAATATTTTTTTGGCGGCCCTATTGGCATTCAAGTTAAATATTTCCATGTTGAACAATTGTTTGGCTTCTGTATTTATTTTACTTACCAATAACTTCCAATTCGGCGGCCGCTATTAATGTATGAAATGAGGGCGCATCCGCAGATACTTCGCAACTGTATTTACCGGATGTGGACATTGTTACCGCATCGAGCACCACTTGGCTTTCGTTCGACGAAGTGCGCTGCAACAAGAGAGAAGAGACAAAGAGTGTGAGAGAGAGCGAGAGAAAGGAGATGTAGAGAGATGTAGCTTCAAATGAATATGGGAAGTGCCTGACATAAAAGCGAAATACATTTGCTTAAAAAAATACACAGAGCATAACTATATTTGCCGTACACAACTTTATATATGTATATGGCATAAAGAGAAAGAGGGAGGGAGAGTGAAAGAGTGGGGAAAGTGCGGGCGTCGCTGTATGTGCAAAATTGCACTGCAAACGTATCTCGTGCATCGCTGCTGGCTTCGCGTTGAGCTCCTCAATAATTGAGCGGGCGGACAGCAAAACAACAAGCAAGACGCAAGGCGGATGAGTGTGCACGACTGCTGAATGCCCGCTCATCAAGATATAACAGAAGGAGCAAAGATATTGCAATAAAAACTGCAAAATTATTGACTTGATGTTTGCAATTCAGAGTTAAATTTTTGTATAAATAATACATTATAGATAATACAGAAAGTATGCAAAATTAAATTTAAGAAAATGTATATAAAATAATAAAACTCAAAATATATCTATTGAAATATATATATAATAAATATATAAATATAAAATATAAATTGAAATATATATATGTGTATATTAACTATAAAATATAAAATTAAAAATAGACAGCAAGCTCTACCTATATAAGGAGCTTTAATATTTTATTTACAATTTCATTAATTTATTTTTATTTCAACTTTCTGCCAAAGAAACTTTCTGTATTTCGAGCACAGTCCCTATATACTCCCTTAAACACTCCCCGAAGGAGCAAACAAACTACATTGGTTCTGGCTGTAGAATTGCGGAAGCTGGTCAACTTTATGCGGATCTCCACGAATGTTTGGCCCGTTTTTTATTTTGTGCATTTTATAAGCCAGCAGTTTATATGCCATTTATATATACATATATCTCCCTCTATATATATTGGATATTTCTACAGTATGCAGTAGTTTTCAAAATCATCAGCGTGGTAAATAATAAAAACTGCGCTTGTGACATGTTTGTCAAATATATAGTATATATACGTATAGTCCGGTTTTTTCAGTGGGCAATTTCACTTCTGTGGCTCCGCGCGATATCAAATGGCGATAGTGTCGACGGCGTTGTTAAATGAATTATTAAATATTTTATTTTATTTGTTTCTTTTTTTTACGAATATGCGAAAAAAAAGGCAAATGTTTTCAGGCCATATGGAAATCCCAAAGCAAAATCCCAGACTCTGCACAGCGGGTTTTCTATATTAATAAATATTTAAGACCAGCTGATGACATGACCGAACAACTGCATCAACTATTTCATTTAATATAATATATGACAAAATAAATAAATAAACTCCAAAAGGATGTTAGCTACATAAAGTTCTGAATAGTATTCACAGCAATTTGGTTCACTCGCCTTCTTTTTTCTAAGTATTCAAATTGTTTTTTCAGATATTTTGAAGCGCACGAATTTCCATTGCAGCAGACTGCAAATTTGTAGTCTTTTCACATTTGTTTATATTTATTTTAGTTTTCATTTTTATTTTTTGCGTTGCTTTATTATGTTTTATTTTGTTTGACTATTGTCGCTTGGCATAGAAATGTAAATGTAAATGAAAATAAATAAAATGTCCATGTATTTCTTTCATATGCCTGAATAATTTCGAAAATTGTGTGCTGCAAGTTAAAAATGCCAATATTTATTGAAAAATATTGCGAATTGCATTTGCAAAAAGCGAAACCGAAAACCAAACCCAAAAACGGAACAAAACTCAAGGGCTACGAATAGAATGCGCCAGGCAGGAGATGGGAGCGAGATGGGGGCGAGTTTTGTGTTTTGTTTTCAGGTTTTCTTTTTTTGTTTTTTTGTTTTTCGTATAGCTCGTAACTGCCATCAAGCGGAAGTTAAAAACCGTGTTTTGATTTGATTGTGCATTGAAATATTTGCTGTCTACATGCGTGTGTGTATGAGTGTGTCCATTGAACTATGCACCGCCTCGCCGCATTCCCTGCCATGACCCTACCCCGTGTTAAGTGAAGCATTTCAATGCAAATGTTTCACATTGTTGGATTCACGTTTCGTTTAATTTATTTCGATTTTCTATATCATGGCAAAACTTGACACGAATTTAAATTCTAATTGAAGCTATTTTTAGAGACATTTTTCGATTTATCAATTGCCAGGCAATTTAATAGAATACTAGTATGGAACACCTGGCTGAAAATCTGACTTAAATAAGGTTTTATCATTTATTTTATTTAGAATAAATATTTTTCCTATATTCTGGTTTAAAAAATTTTGCTTAGCAAATATTCAAATGTATTTAGCTCAAACATTTATTTAAATTTATTTATTTATTTTTTTAATTTAAAAAATACCCTAAGAATATTTTTCTCAACTTTTAAATATGAAAAATAATGGTAACATATAATCTCAACTTACCCGCACTTTAACACCTGGAAAATGAAAGACCTTCATCGGTGGCGTCTCTTTGGGCGTGTATCTGTAGAACTCTCTGCGTCCCTTATACCACTTGACCGAGTACAGGCTGTCATCCTCGATGTCGTAGAAGCACTTCAGCACCGCCTTCTCGCCACGCCTCACTGCATGCGGCACTCGCACTCGCACATCCCGCAGTGCAGTCGATAGTTCTGCAAAAGAAAAAACCACAAACGAAATGATATGAATTATTAATATTAAATATGAATTGTATTCCAAATCTTTTTGATGACAGACAGCATCAAAAAAAAAAAAAAAAAAAAAGAGAGCAAATTAAAATCCGAGCAAGCTAAGCAACCAAATCCCTCGGGTGCTTTAAAAGGGAATCGCGCGTATTTCTCATATTAAAATTTCCTTTTTTTTTACAATTTGCATTTTATTATCAATTTTGTTTTTCTTTTAACGACATGGCGAATTATTTATGATGCGAATTTTATATTTTATTTGTGCGCTTTATTAAATAAATCCCAGCAGCATTTTATGGACATTCAATCCCCAAAACACGTCCGACGTGAGCCCGCAGGGACATGCACACATACATATATATGTATATTCATACGTTTATACCCCTTTTTTAACTGCAGCTGTTGACTGATTCTGCTGCGAAATTGGCTAAAAGCAATTATGTGCTTAAATATATAAATATTAAATTTGATATTATGTTAAATATATATGATTAAAATATATGTATTTTAATTTTCTGTTGGTTTTTCGTTGAATTACTTGATTATATTTATTATTATTCATGTAAATGTTGCTTCTTTTTATAGTGCTTACACAATTCATTCACAATAGTCAAATAAGTATATTGGTTTATGTGCAATTTCTTTCCATGAGTATTGTATACCTTCGAATCACTAAGTATTCAAGCATAAAATTATTCGTATATATGTACAATATTTAAGCTCTATTTAATTTATTCAATTTCTGGTGCAACAAAAATCTATATTTGTATCACTGTGATCCCATAATTTAAATCGCCTTAAATTTCATATACATACATATTCAACTCTTTGCTTCCGTTAAGCTCTTGCCCTATGATTCAGCCATATCACGAATTGACAAATATTCAAATTATAATTATCATATACATAGCATTGATAAAAACATATATTTATCATATATTTTATTTATGCACTTGTGAAATGTCTGCTGTTGAAATTTGTACACATGTCGCGAGTGCCCCCGCTCCGCTTCCCCGCCGTCGTAGCGCCTCTGGTTTATTGTCAGCGCATTTTTAGGCCATCAATTTAACGGCCCTGTCGCAACATTATAAATCAGCATATTACAAGGGCGACCCATCCCCTGCAATCCCCACAGCGCCCCACTCTGTTTACGGCCAGCGGGTCATAAAATATGCAATAACAAATATAAAATTATTTCTGATTTGTGTCTGATTAAGTGCGATGAGATTAAAAATATAAAAACAAAAATAAATATATAACACCTCGCTGTTTGAGTGTCATCGAAATTGTTTAATAAAATACGCAATTGTCGCAACTGTCCAAAGGGATTTATATTAAATGTGCACGAATGAAATTGTGAATCG